CTCCCTTCCACTTAATAGTTTGATGCTCCCTGAGCACCTCCTTAGCCTCATGCCTTCACTGGACTTGGGGCTGGAAGGGACTTTTAGATTATCTGGTCTAAAATCCTCACTATGCAAAGAGGGAAACTGAGTCCCAGAGAGGGTAAGAGACATACCCAGGAAATAGAAAAGCAACATAGTCCCTGCTCTCAAGGAGCTCTCACTCTCTAATTGGGTGCAGCAATCTATAGAGGAGGCTTCTCAGCCCATTGCTTGAGAACTGAGCAACCGAGGGAGCTAGGGCAGGACACCAGCGTGTGTGTGTGTGTGTGTGTGGATCCACCGGGCCTGAAGCACAAGGGAATGGCATCCACCTGGGGCCACTTCTATCTCCCCAGATGTCACTTGCCAGTGAAATGAGGTGTCTGAGATAGCTTTGGGGGCCAGCTGCAAGGGAAACCACCATTAAGGGAGTCGGGTTAGCCACAGGGGAATGTAAGGGGAAAAGATAGAAATGACCAGAGATCTCAAGAGGGAAAAAACCTTGAATACCAGCAGACACACCAACAGAGAAGCTATTGGGGACAGAAGGGAAATGGCCTCCCAATCAATGGCACAGGCCTCAGGGGCCTCCTGACCTATCAAGGAGGAGGGGCAGCTGTGACATTACCCAACCCAGAGAAGAGGAGCCTGCAGGTGTATTACCCCTCGCCACAAAAGTGGAAACAGTTCTTCTTGCTGAAAGCTCCTGGTTTGGGGTGGTCAAGGTTTGTTCTTTCATCCTCTGGTGGACGGATGGTCGGAGGAGAGGGGGCAAACATTCCCCCCAAGAAGGCGAATGCTCCACAATTGTAGGAAATGCTAATGAATCACATCAAAGACGAGCGGCCCAGACAGGCTTCAGGGGAAGCTGACCTGCTGGGGCAACAAGACAGCGACCAGGAAAGAGGAAAAATAGGCTTTTCTCACCCCGGGAAAGGCAGGAGGGCCCCAAGACAAGGAACCTCCAAGGAGTAGCCTGCACGACCCAAGCGAGTGCCCTTTGACCAAGATCCCTCAGATAGGAACGGTCCCCAAGGAAGGACTCCACGCCTGCCCATGGAATGAGGACCAGGGGATGGTGAAGACTGGACCGTCCGAAATGAGGAATGTGAGGGGCCCCAGAAGAGTGAGGAGAGACCATTGGGAACCCGATGCGCACAGAGACCGAAGCAAGGTCAACGGAGAGACGCCCCAAGACCCTGGAGACTGATGCTGAGAGGCTGGAAGGGGAGGAGGGGGGCTGCAGGTGTGGAGCACCGTGTTCCCTCGGTGGGTTTTGTGGAAGTGGTCTCTTTTCTTAGCCTTTTTAGTAAGGACTGGCTCTCCGGGAGGGGCGGTGTCTGGGAGCGGGGTTCCCCAGGTTCCCAGCCCTGGTGTCATCTCCGGCCCTCGACCCAACCCTTCATTTGTGCCCTCAGTGCCACGTCTCAGACACGCCCCTTTCTCTCCTCTGACCCTGCCCCCACCCTCAGTACTGTGGCAATAGCAGCTCGGGGGGTGGGGTCTGCCTGCCTCTGGTCTCGCTCTCCAGTCCATGCTGCACTCAGCCACCAAGGTGATTTTCCTAAAGCACACGTCTGACCAGGTCTCTCTCTTCCTTAATCGCCAGTGGCCCGCTCCCTCCTCCAGGACACAGTACCAAACTCTCTCCTTGGTATTGCTTCAGAAGCTCTCCCTCACCCACACCTTGTCAGTCTTCTTACCCCTCCCTCCCCATCACACACTCCGCTCTCCAGGGTCCTGGCCTTGTGGCTATTGCACAAACAAGACCTTTAATCTCTGGGCTCAAGCTTTCTCTTCGGCCATCCCTCCGCCTCCTGGCTTCCTTTAGGTCCCAACTAAAATCCCACCTCCTACAGGAAGCCTTCCCCAGCTCCCTCCCCCTTCAGATTACCTCCATCTACTTTCTCTGCTTGTTTGTGTACAGTTATTTACATGTTTTCCCCTATTAGGCTATAAGCTCCTTGAAGGCAGGACCCCTGTTTTTGCCTTTCTTTGCATCCCCAGTACTTGGCACGGTGCCAGGGGTACCCTTAGCATGGGAGGCGGGGATGTGTATGTGTCTATATGTCCACCTTCCTCAGCCCCTTCCCCAGCTCTGTTCTATAGAGAGACACAAAATCACCCTGAGAGAAGCTCTGTGTGAGGGAGGGAGGGTGCCCCTCCCAGAAGGGGTGCCTGAGCTCACTCCTGTTCAGGGTCAGATTCAGAAGCAAAAGGAAAGAACGGGATCACGGCAGAAACTTTTAGTCACCGGAGAGAACTGGGCCAGCTTGGAGGAGACAGGGCTGGGCTGGAATCTCATGAAAGGAGGGGCATTGAATGAAAGTGGCTGACTGAATGAAGGAGCAGGTGAAAAGCCTGTCTCTCTCCAGGCCTTGGGGGCAGCCTGGGTCTCGGCTGCTGCCCCGAGCACCAACTTCACAGGGACGCTGGTAAGGTCACGTGACCTCAGTGATGGTCACCGCTCAACGTTCTCTAAAGCTGTGAAGTCAGAACATTCTCACCATTATGGGAGGGTGTTTGCATGTTTCTTGGGGTTGGTTTTCTCCTTCACAACAGCTTCGTGAAGAAAATTGGGGGTCTTAGAGGACAGCAAGCTTTGTCAAAGTCCCCAGTGTGATGTGGCCACCAAAGAAGGCTGTTATCTTGGGCTGCATCGGGGGCAGGGTGAGTTTCTAGGAAGGAGGCACTGGCTGGCCCCACTGGCCCCTGCCCTGCATCTGGCACCTTGTTCAGTTCTAGGGGTCACGTGTGGGAAGGATGGTGATAGGTGAGATGCTTGAGATCATGTGAGGCTCCATGTGGGGATGTTTGCCCTGAAGAAGACAAAGCTAGGGAGGGCCCTGGAGGGCTAGACACAAAGAAAAACATCGTAATGGTGACAGGTGTTCTGCAGGGAAGTGGGCTGCCTGCAGAGGTAGAGAAGTGCCCACAGCTGGAGATCTTCAGAGGTTATGTGGCCGCTTGTCAGAGATATTGTGGAGGGGCCAGATTCCACGGCTTCTGAGGTCCCCTCTGGCTGAGGGCAGAGCTGAGATTTGGCGAGCCTAGGATGTCCTCATAGGGCTCTAGACAGATGTAGGGTAGGGCTGGGGCAGAGACGACACTGAGATGAGACACGGTCTCTGTCCTTATGTGGCTTGCAGGCCTGGGGCGGAGGAAAGGTGGCAGATAGCTCCTCTTGCTCCATCCCCCTGACACCCCACCAAACCAGAAGAGGGCTGGGAGGGTCCCTGAACGGAGCAGGGATGCTTCTGTGGGTGGAAGCGCTTCCCCATGAAGAATGTTCCCTGGGGTGGGGGCCTAGAGTCCAGAGGTCCCAACCACCTCCAAGGGACTCTAATTCCAAGGCATGCTTTAGGGACACAAGCCCTCCTGTTTGAGGTTTCTGTAAGCGGTTCCCCTTTCCTCCCAGAGCCCCTGACCATTCACTCTTTCCTCCCAGTCCTAGAGTCAAAAATAGATGCAAATGTTCTGTCTCCAAGGTTCAGGGTCCAGGGGAAAAGGGAAGTGAGTGAATGTGGTTCCCCACACCACGGGAGCAGGGTGGAGGAGGAAGGCACGAGGCACAAGGAGGAGGGAGACGGCCAGAGTCCCTGCAGGAATGGCGAGGAGCTACCGTCCTCCCTGATGTCCTGGTCTTGAAGCGGGCCTCCTGAAGGAGCTGGGAGTCCCAGGGGATGGGGCCAAGGAAGGATAGAAGGGCCCTGGGATGCCCTGGGGATCAGAGCCTGGAGAGCAGCCCAGGACTCCCCGAGGTTGGAGGGTCAGGGGTGGGGTGATTTCTAGAGCCCGGCTTTCCTGGTATTCACAACAAGGAAAAGGGAAAATCCGCGTTGGCTGGTACAGCACCAACCCCAGCAGCTGGAAATACTTGTTTTCCCCCTAGTTAAGAAGAGAAAGTCCTAGGAGAATGGGTGTCCCTACCACCTCTTTCTCTACCAGCCACACCCCTATTGGTCAGCATCCCCCAGAGGAGCTGCCTCCCTGACTCTTGAGAATGCAAGTCAAAGCTGCAGACACCCTGTCCCCCTCCATGAACCACCAGCATTTGGCCAGACAGGACTGGGTGGAAGACCCCTTCCCTGTTTGTGGCCTGGCTTAAGGCCCTTCCTATGGAAGAGAGGGGAGAAGGGAGACCTATGGGGGAGGGTGAAAAGAGGAGACCTATGGGGGGGGGGGGGGGGGGAGATTTATGGGGGAGGGGGGAGGGAAGAGAGGGAGGGAGGTCCTGAAGGGAGGGTGCAACTGGCAATTCAGCTTAGCTGAAATCTGGTATGTAAGGGGGAGTCAGACGTAATAAGACAAGAAAGGTAGGCCAGGCTCAGATCTAGGAGGACCTTGAAGGCCTGGCTGAGGACTGGGTGAGGATAAAGTTTCGATTCCTCAGTCTGGCATTCAAGGCCTGTCTGCTCCATCTGGCCCTTTTGGGGTTTTGTCTCCTCCCCTCCCCTTCGTGCATCCTCCTCTGTTCCCCTCCCGTGATTGTTCATCTCCTGCCTCCACACCTTTGTCCAGGTTATTTATTCCCCAAGCCTGGAACGTGTCCTTCTCTTGCTTCCATGTCACAGAATGTGGGCTTTCTCCAAAGCCAGCTCCAGTACCCCCTCCTGCAGGAAGCCCTCCCTGATACCCCTGTTGTTAGAGCTCACTACATCTTCAAAGGACCTGTTATAGACTTGGCATTTCCTTTTCCATGGTGGGGCCATGGAAACTTGGTTGAGGTGGTCCATGTCCTTCTGTGGGAACCTGCTGCCTGGGCTCTCTGACCACAGTCACCCCATTAACCAGAGAGCCAGCAATGCCACCTGGGCATCCCTCGGGGAGAGGAAGGCCTGCCACGTGGTTGCTGGGCAAGGTGATAGGAGAAAGAGCCTCTCAACAGCTGAAGCAAAGAATTAATTCCAGCTCTCTTTGAACATTAGAGATCTCAGGGCACATGGAAGCCTAGGAGAAGCTGAGAGTTTCGTACTCACCCCAGGCAGAGGAAGTGAGCTCCCCGTCAATGGAGGGCTCTCCACAGAGGCTGCATCACTGTGTGTAGGAGACGTCAGAGTGGGGACGCTGAGGCAGAGGCGGGTCAGCCTTGGCACCTCGGAGGCTGCCCCCCAACACCAGATCTGTGGGTGGAGCGGAGCCAGCTTCAGCACCTGTTAACAACAGAGACTAGTCAAGTCTTCGTCAAGCAGCCCTGGGGCAGAGTCTCAGTCACAGATGCTTTAGAATCCGGGGGAGCGGCTGGAAGCTGGGCAGGATTCTCACTGGGTGCCCCGTCCTCTGAGCCATCTGGACAGGGAGGCTCTGCTGCCTAGCAGGATCTTAGATCCAGACGCCATGAGATGTAGAGGAGCTTTCACAGTGGCTTGTGAGGTCCCCCTCCACCCCATCCTCTCTGCCAGCCAGGGTGGGGGGCACTGAGAGTCAAGTCAGTGAGTCAGTGCGAATTCCGAAGCACCTACTGTGTGCCAGGCATTGTGTGGAGCGCTAGGGATACGACAGCAGGGCATAAAACCAGTCCCTGCCCTTTAGGAGGAAGCGCACAGACTCTTGGGGAGACAACCCTCACACAACCACATGCGTACAAGAGACAGGATACACCGGAAGTCATCTGAGAGGCGAGGCCCTGCCATGGAGGGGATGGGGAGGTCATTTAGTCAGTCAAAGGGGCCAGCCTCCCAAGAGCGCACCAAGAGCCGGGGGTGGGGGAGGGGAGGAGGGGATTTCTCCCCCACTCCTCCATTGGCGCTGATGTGCTGCAGCCACAGCAGAGAGCTGAGCCGGGGTCCCTTGGGCAACCCTGCAGTTGTTCATTCTTCTTTCGAGGGGACCAAAGCGACATCACTATGTTGTGTCCATAAAAACTATATTGGGCAGGAAAATGGTAAATGTTGGAGATGTGGGAAAATTGGAACACTAATGCATTGCTGGTGGAGTTGTGAACTGATCCAACCATTTTGTACACACTTTTTTTTTTTTTTTTTTTGGTGAGGCAATTGGGGTTAAGTGACTTGCCCAGGGTCTCCTGGCTAGTGAGTATCATGTGTCTGAGGCCTGATTTGAACTCAGGTCCTCCTAACTCCAGGGCCAATGCTGTATCCACTGCACCATCTAGCTACCCCCTGATCCAACCATTTTGGAGAGCAATTTGGAACTATGCCCAAAGGGCTATAAAAACATGCATACCCTTTGACCCAGCAATAACACTTCTAGGGCTGTATCCAAAAGATATCATAAAAACGGGAAAAGGACCCACATGTACAAAAATATTTATAGCAGCTCTTTTTGTGGTGGCAAAGGATTGGAAATTGAGAGGATGCCCATCAGCTGGGGAATGGCTGAACAAGTCGTGGCATACAAATGTGATGGAATACTGTTGTGCTATAAGAAATGATGAGCAGGTGGACTTCAGAAAAACCTGGAAAGACTTGTATGGACTGATGCTGAGTGAAGGGAGGAGAACCAGGAGAATGTTGTCCACAGTACCAGCCACATTGTGTGATGACTAATATTGATAGACTTGGCCCTTTTAGGATCTAAGACATCTCCAACGGCCTTGTGATGGAAAATGCTATCCACATCCAGAGAAAGAACTCTGGAGTTTGAATGCAGATTGAAGCAGACGATTTGCTATTTTTTTTCTTCTGTTGAGTTTTGTTTCCTCTTTCTGGCGGTTCCTCCCATTGGTTCTGTCTCTTACTTGCAACGTGACTAATGTGAAGATATGTTTAATCGGAATGTAGATGTGAAGCCTCTATCAGATTGTCTTGGGGAGGGGGGGAGGGGGGGAAGAAAAATTAAAAACTTAGAAGCTTATGGAAGTGATTGTTGAAAACTAAAAATAAGTTAACCAAAAAAACTCTGTCGGGGTCAAGGTCCAGCGCATCGACCGTGTCTGATCAGACCAGTAGGAGCTCAGAAGGCTCTATGACAGGCCGGGCACAAGCGGTCCACGTGAACATTTGGGGAGGAGAAGGCTCTGCATTTGCGCATCTCACCGTTTCTTTGAAGCGGCTGCAATTCTGCTTTGCTCTTAGGGTGCAGGGCCTTCATGGCCATGGTGGGCAGTCCCTTGCCAGTGTCTCCCTCATCTCACAACCAATTCCAAACTTCTTCAGAGAGACCTTGAGAGTGTCCTTGTATCACTTCTTCTGACTTCCATACGAGCACCTGCCTGGTGTGAGTTCTTTAAAAGATAGTCTTTTAGGCAAACATACATTCGGCTTTTGAACAGCCTGGCCAGCCCATTGGAGTTGTGCTCTCTGCAGTAGAGTTTGAATGCCTGGCAGTTCAGCTAGAGAAAGGACCTCAATATCTGGTACTTTATTTTTCCAGGTGATGTTCAGAATCTTTCTAAGACAATTCAAATGTAATCAGTTCTGTTTCCTGGCATGGTGCTGGTAGACTGTCCAGCTTTCACAGGCATGCAACAATGAGGTCAGCACAACAGACCTTCAGTTGGGTAGGCAGTCTATTACCTCTTCTTTCTCACACTTTCCTTCAGAACCTCTCAAACACCGAGCTAGTTCTGGCAATGCATGTGGTAACCTCATCATCTATGCGGACATCCCTGGAAAGTGTACTACCAAAGTAAGTGCACTTATCCACAGCATTCAGAACTTCTCCATTTGCTGTAACTGATGGTTCCATGTAGGGATGGTGTGGTGCTGGTTGGTGGAGCACCTGTGTTTTCTTGGTGTTAATTGTCAGGACAAAATTAGCACAAGCTGCAGAAAATCGATCCATACTTTGTTGCATCTCAGCTTCAAAGGCTGCATTGATTGCCCTGTTATCTGGGACCAAAAGTCATGCACCAACTCTCCCACCACTTTAGTCTTGGCTTGTAGCTTTTGCAAGTTGAAGAATTTATCATCAGCTCGGCTGACGTTCATATGTTTTTATCCTCATTGAGGGGTTCTTTCTGACAATGTTGTTGAAAACATCATTCTAAAAAGTGTTAAGAACTGCTAAGTGGTCCCCTGAACTTTTCTTTTTGAGTTGCCATATTTCACGGATATACTGGACCCAGGACATGCAGGAGGTCCCCCCTGAGCTGACATAATGTGTTGTTTGCACCCCACGCTGTGTGTCCTTGGGAGGTAGGACAGGCGCCAGCCAGTCTGTGCTGTGCTGTGCTGTGCTGGGATGTTTGTGTAGCTCGGACCCTGCAGATAAGCAGACCCTCCTATCTGTATAGTTCAGTAGTTTCTCCTCCCCTTCTGGAAGCATCTTGTCTTTGCCCCACTTTCACTGCCCTTCTCTCTGCCCATGTCACGCGCCTCCCTGGCATCTCCTTCTTCCTCTGACCTGCTGTTGTGAAAAAGCAAACGTCTGAGTGGATTGCGAGCCCTTTGGTCATTTCTCTTGTAATAAACCTAGTTTTCATTTAAGTTTTGTGAGGTTGTGACAAAATCATGGGAGCAAGTAAACAGCCCTGCTTCACTCCATTGGTGATTGGGAAAGCGCCAGAGCATGGTTCCTTGTCCAGAACCTGGGCAAGCATGCTGTCATGGAACTGGACCAGCTGTTTGCCCTTTGCTTTTGAAGAGGGCCAGCGAGTCTCTGGGGCAATGTCTGGACTTGTGGTGAATCGGATCTGAGTGTGACTGAGCCGCACAAAGCGTTTTGGATTGTTACCATCATGCCAAACGGAGTTTCCTCTGCCTTCTCACTGAGCCAAGACTCCTGCATCTCTCTGGACTTCATGGAGCTAATTAGATGCTGCCTTCCTGCAGAAGGACAAACTGTCCTGCTGGCAAACCCCACGGAGTTCTCGTTTCTCATTGAGCAGCTTCTGAATGTCCCCACCATCTTTGTCAAACCGGTCTTGATGCTCATGGCGGTCTTGCTGCGGTATCACGGATTGTCTGATGGACCCGTCTCCCAGAGCAGGCTGCAGGGTGAACGTCTCTAATTTACATTACGAGGCAGGACAAACGAGGGCGCTGCGGCCCCCTCCCCTTCCAGTTCCTGTCCATCATTCAGTAATCTTGGCAACCCCCCCAAGCAGCCCCAAACAGTAGCACATCCTTAGCTAAAGCAGGCCCTGAGGAAGCACAGCAGAGTGTGGGACTTGGAGACAGGAAGGCCTGAGTTTGAATCCTCCCTCAGACACTTACTAGCTGTGAGAACCTGGTTAAGTCACTTAGGGACCTGTTGGACACTGTGCTAAGCACTGGAAATTCACATACAAGAAGAAAGAAAGGCGAGGAGCTTAGATTCTAATGGAGAAGATAATATAGAAAAGGGGGCTGAAGAGGGGAGTAGGAAAAGCCGTCTGCAGCCAGGGAGGCATTGGTGGAGAAAGCCCTATCGGGGTGAGTCAGGAATGCAGGCTGGAAAGGAATGGAGACGGGCTTTGGGCCTCTTCCTTCCATGGAGGCTGTAGGAGAGAGCAGCCCCAGAGAGGGAAGTACACGGAGGCGGGGGGCACTTCTAATAAAGCTGCCGTCTTCTCATCTATAAAATGAGGTTCAGTCATCTGTCATTCGTGTCTGACTCTTTGTGACCCCATGTGGGGTTTTCTCAGCAGAGATACTGGAGGGGTTTGCCATTTCATTCTCCAGCTCCAGCTTTACAGATGAGGAAATGGAGGCAAATGGTTTAGTGACTTGTCCAGGTTAGCACAGCTAGTAAGTGTCTGAATTCAGATTTGAACTCAGGTCTTCTGACTCTAGGCCTGATACTAAGTGCACTCTGGTGCCACCTAGCTGAGGAGGTCAGACTAAATGGTCTCTCCAAGATGTTTTCTGGTACTAAATCTATGATATTTTACCAAAATCCAATTATAGGCCAGTTATGAATTTATGTATGTCATATATAGCATTCCCTGCTTGTATTATTAAAAATAACCCATGAACATTTGTAAAAAACAGTGTAGCGGCTGAGGATAAGTGCGCTGACCTGTCACCCGGGTGGGAGCGGCATTATCAGTGAGGTCACAAGGGGGTAAGCTGCCCCAACAGGCTGAGACCTTTCTCCTGCCTTTGGCCACAGGGATCTTTGCCTTAGCTAGCCCCACACTCATCTGCCTTCTTCACATTTTGCAAATGTGTAGTTGTATAAAACAGAGCCAAGTCCGGTGAGAATGCTGTAAGTATGCGATCTCCCCAGGGAAATGTGTGCTACCCACACAGATGTCAGGAACAATTGG